TCGCACCTGTGTGCCAGAAGGTTGGTCTGAAGGCGATTCACCACACAACTGGGTGTGGGATTGAGGAGGCAGAGGAAGGATGCTGCAGCCCAGCACCCAGCTCCTTCCTCCACCACACACTGCAGTGCAGCCCCGCTCAGACTCACAGGACCTGTGAAAAGCACCTGCAAATCTCCGCCCCACCTCACCTTCATCCTCTCCAGCTCTGCTTGTTCTGCGGAGAGCTGCTGGTTCAAGACTTGTTGCTCCTCCTCCAGCAATTCTGCTCTGGAGCGCTCCGCAAACACCCTCTGTCGCTCCTGGGTTCAGACACAGAGGAGACACAGATGTCACTCGCAGGCTCCAGGCCAAGGACCTCCAGTGAGCGAGACCCATGGCCCATCCCCAGACAGGTGGGCTGAGCCAGGCAGAGGACACAGGGTGGGCTCACCTGCTCCAGCAGCCTAGTCTGCTCATCCAGCCTGGCCTCCAGTTTAGCCACCGCCTCCTGGAGTCGGCACCGATTCTCCTTCGCCTCCTTCTGCTGAAGTGACAGTCTGTCCTCGAGCACTGGGGAGAGGCAGCAGCGGGGCCATGAGCAGCATGAAGAGGCAAGCCCCCCTCTGTCTACCCCACATTCACAGAAAAACTGCCCGCATCTGTGCTCACAACCTTCTGCACATCCTCCAGGACAACGTGTTGGAAAGGAAAGACCCTGAGATGCCAGGGACCAAGACAGGCAATGCTCTGCTAGCCTTGGCTCCCAGCCTCTGGCCAACTTGGAGCACCTTTTCCCCATTTCCTGGGTGTCCACAGCCTCAGCAGGGACCCCACAGCCATTTCGGTGCACAGGACCAGCAGACGTACCCTTGAGCTGATTCTCCTCTATCTGTGCCCTCGTGGCCAGGTCCTGAAAGGCCATCTGCTGTGTGGCCTCCACCTTCTGTACCATGTCATGCAGCTTGCTTGAGAGCTTCTCCATCAGATCCATGGCACCGTTCAGAGTCCTGTGGAGATCAGCAAGGGGAGAGTCACACCAGGGGAACACGCTTCATCTCCCCACGATGGAGAGGGGGACGTGTGGTGGGCCAAAGGCCGGGCAGCCCTGCCCCAAACCTCTCTAGGGCAGAGCAGAGCAGTATTCCTGCATCGGAAGAGCTCAGCGTCCCTGAAGGCAGGGACTAGGAGAGGGGATGGCCTCTAGTGCCACGGTGCAAGGCTGCTTCCCAAGAGGACAGGGAACACCGTGGACAGGGACCAACGCAAGGATGCGACGCTGGCCATCGGTACCTGGTGTGCGAAGTGGAGCTGGTCACCGCCTCGACCTCCTGGTCCTTCAGGCACTTCAGCTGCTGGAGCCGCTGCTCACGCTCTCTGCGCAGCTCCTGCGCAGACACCCTGCAGTACACGTGGAAGGAGCCCACCACGGGCTGTTAAAAATAGGGGCTCCCCGGGACGGGCAGTGGGGACGAAGCTTGGTCAAGGGCCTGAGAACCAGGTCCCAGGAGCTGAGCTGGCATGGGGCTCTGTCCCAGGGCATCCACTGACAGGCATCTGCACCAGGCACGGACGGGCTTCTCCACCAGAAACTGATTTCTCATTGACCCCCAGTGTGTGGGCAGCAGTGACTCACTGACTGGATAAAAGGGAGTTAGGGAAGATAAAACACTGGGCTCAGCATCTTGCACAATACAATGCATTCACTCTGAAAGTACGTCTCCAGCCACATCTCCCTCTGTCCGGCTACAAAGCAAACCCCCATTCCAAAAGCCACCCAACTGCCCACAGCCCAGTGCTTCTGGAGTCTCCTGTCACCGTGGCCCCAAACCACTCCCCAATTCCTCTGCCACAACTAGCAGCACCGGTCCCAGGCCTGCGCCGCTCGTGCTGCTCTCACCTCTGCAGCTCTCGAAGCTGCTCCAGCTCTGCCCAATCCTGCTCCGCCTCCTGCCTCTGCGACAGGAGCTGAGCCACCAGCTGCTCATTCTCCTGCCGCAGCCTCTGCTCTCGCTGCCTGTAGGTCTCCTCCAACACCTTCAACTGTCTCCTGCCACAGAGGTCACGGCCAGGAAGAAATGTTACTTTCAGGACAGCAGCCGGCCCTCTCCACCCACAGCTCACGCGGGGATTTCGGAGCAGAGCGGCAGCGCTGGGGGCGTGGGGAAACACACGGCTCTCCACAGCCTGAGCCCTGCCGGGGGATGTGCTGGCCCTGGGAATGGCTCCTCCTCCCTCTCCCCCACGGGACAGTGCAGGGGAGAGCGGACACCCCGCCCTGCCCCGCTGGCTCACCCGTGGGGCTCCTCTCTGCGCCCACCAGCTCCACACCCACACGGCTCTGGGCCTGCCTGCCCCAGGGACGGATCTGGGCAGCGCCCCAGCGCTCCCACCTCCGGGGAGAGGGACAGGGCTGTAGGCAAGGCCCTGGCAGCGGAGGGGAGCATGTGCTCTCGTCTGTGGATACCTGTGGGTGCTCTCGAGGAGATCCAGATCCTCCTGGTGCCGCCGCCAGAGGACCTCCAACAAGAGTTTGTCCTGAGCCCGTGCCAGCTCCAATGTCCGCACCTGCCGGGCACCCAGGGAGAAGGTCTTTGTGCTGCCCAGGGGACAGAGCTCCCACAACAGCACCTGCTAGCCGCAGCCTTCTCTGGACAGGCAGCTTCGTCCTATCTGCCCCGTTCCTCTGATGCCATTGGGAACAGGCGTGGCCCCTGCTCCCCGGTCCAGCAGGCCATGGGGCTCACCTGGCTCTCCAACTCTGCCACACGGGCCTGGGCACGGAGCAGTGCTGCTTGACAGCCCGTTGCATCCTTGTGGGGCTGGGCAGTGGAAGCCCCCAGCCTCCTCTCACACAGCAAGCCCTGGGCTGGGGACTCTGCCTACAGGGATGGAGAGAAAAGACCCAAGCCCTTCGGCATCGGGGGCTTTGTGCTGTGGCCATCAGCCCCCAAAGGCAGGCACGTGCCTTGCCGGCAGCTGTCCCTGCCTGTGCTAACCTGTGCAGACACAGGGACGCTCCCAGGGAAGTAAAGCCCTGGGGAGAGCATCTCCCCCCAGCCTGGGAATGGCCACCCAGCCCCAGCCTCCTGCAGTCACTCCTCTACCCATCTCCAGCCCAACCCCACTGCTGCCTAGGTGACACTTGGCAGCCCCTCCCCAGGCACAAGTGTGCTGGGCTCTTCCTTGTCTGGGAACAGACTCAGGGATAAGACCATCAGTCCTCTGGTAGACAGTGTGTGTCCTGCCACCAGGGCCAGGCCAGGAGGCCCAGCTCAATGAGACCAAGCAAGAGCTGCCCTCCCTGTCACAGGCTCCTGTTCCCTTCACTTGTCTACAAACAATCTCAGAGCATCTTCACTACTGTACTGGGGAAAACCAGCTGAAGAAAAAGTCCTTCGTCAGCTGGAGCCTCTCATGTTTCGTTAATAGGATACAGAGATGCCTGGGGAACTCTGTCAATACTGCACAGGCCATGCAGGGCTGAAATGCACACGATTTACAAAGCAGCCGCAGCACACGCGCTTTGGCCTCACAAATAAAACTCGTGGCATCTGTGGGCTCTCCAAAGCCTTGGCCTTCATGAACACAGGCTCCCAGGGATGCGAAGCGAGGTACATCCATCCTCCTGCCCAGGGAGCACGCACAGGGTTGGGTGACCCTAAATTAGCAGGGGAGGGGTCACCATTACCACCCTGATCCTGCACCTCTCGGGGGCACAGGCCCAGCACACCTACCTGAGCCAGCGGGGCAGCGTCCTGTGTCTCCTGCTCTCTCGGAAACAAAGCTGTGGGGACTGAAAATGGAACAAGTCTGCTACTCAGACAGGCCAAGGGGAACCATTCCCTCACAGAAGGACAAGGGCCTGGGTCTCCTTGGCAGAGCGAGAAGGGTCCTGCTCTGCTCTGGCAGCTGGGGATGGGGACGGAGGCTCAGACATGCTCGTCCAGACCCACACCCCTACTCCACCCCATGCACAGTGGCGGGGACTCTGCTCTGCAGAGTAAATCTGGGGGAAAAGCACGGCTCCTCCTCCATCTCCATCAACTAGGGAGGAGGCTGGGTCCCCTCAGCCACTTTCAGTGGCTGCTGAAGTGGTGCTCAGCCTCAGCCTAGGGCAGGAGGGGGTCTGCCAGCACACAGCACTAGTGGCATGAGTGTTGGGGCAGCAGGAGGGAAGAGGGAGAGAGAAGGGACAGTATGAACCTAGGCCCACCCATTGCTCAGAGAGAACAAATCCCTGGCAGCCCTCTGAAACCCCACAGGCAGCACTGTGGAGCTCAGTGTGCCACAACATGGGCATGGTGGCATCCTGCAGCCTGGAAGCCCCCTCCAGCAACAGCTGGGCAAAGCCTGGGCAGCGCTCACACAGACAAGGGCGATGCTGCGGCTCTGGCCTTTTTTTGGCTCGTTGTTTTTGCAGGGCCAGGGGGACCCTCTCTGCATTCTTCTGCCCAAACTCTACAACCACAAGAAACGCACCCGGGGCGCTGGCGTCTCTGGACGGATCCCCCTGTGCTGCCTCCGATGGCTGAGTTGAGGCTTGTGTCGTGGTCCTGAGCCAGGGGGGCAGTGGCCTGCGTGAGCACAGAGACACGGGTGATGCACAGCAGCGCCGCAGCTCAGGGAGAGGCGCACGGACATTCTCCTGCTTGGCATCGCTTGGAGTTTTTAAACTTAAGATCCACCTGCCCTCCCGCTTACAGAGGTGCCGGGGCACTGTGATCCCCACTGGCTACCAGCCCTCCCTGTTGCCCCATCTCCCACAGGCAGCTGCTTCCTGCAGGACACCCCTCCCATGGAGGACGCCTGAAAGGTGAAGGCAGCCTTACCTGGAGCTGTCTGTGTTTGCTGCCTCATCCTGCACGGCGGCTGCCTGTGGCCGTGCTCCTGGGGAGGCTGCTGGCCGGCTGCAAGCAAAAAGCATCCTAAGTGGGAGAGCCAAGGAGGCGAGGAAAGACAAGACCCTTTCCCTCAATGCCAGTTCCTGCCTGGCAGGGGAAAGACTCTGTCCCACTCAGCTGTGCCAGGATTCAGCATGGGAGAGCCCAGAGGTATGAGGGGACTGCAGGCTGGATCACTGGGACATAGCCCCACATTATTACCCCAACCCAACACAAGACAGTGCTAAAAATTAATTTCTCAGATCTGAGCCCAGGGTTTCTGAGAGCTCCTGCCGGAGCAGCTACACGTGGAGCAGAGGGGAGTGCTGCAACCATCAACCATGTCTTTACCTGACAGGAGACTGGGGTTTCAGCCCCTCGCCTGGTGCTTCCGAGGGCTTGGCACTCCTCTCCTGGGCCTTCGCCTGCACTTGGGCTTTCTTTTGCGATAAGGCAGCACTCAGCCAGTCCTCCTCCTCCACTGGGTTACTTTTAGTGGTTGCCTCCTCTGGAGCTGGGAG